TATAACTGAACCTTGTAAGAGAAAATAAAATCAGTGAGATGTGTATGAGAAGTCTCAGTGCATATGTAAGAGTTAAAAAAAAATCAAATTTGAAAGCACATCAAAGGTAACATTTGGAAGATTCCAGACAAGCCAAAATTCAGAACATACATAAAATGCTAACATGATTGGAACAAATGGACTAAATCTGAATCATTCCAATTTTACTGAAAAAATCAGGGATTCACTGATCCTAATACATATAACTAGGTAGGAGAAAAACCTTAAGACAATTTTAGCATTTGAACAAGGAAAACTAGTGTGAGCTCCCAAGTTTAATGAACAAGAATATGTCAGGAATAATGTGCTAGTCTTTCAACCATACAGTTGAAAGCATATCTTGTTTCTCTGTAATTATCTGCATTTGAGAAAATCAAAATCTTCCACACAAGTGAGGACCACTTGCTTGTAATTACCTCTACAAAGGGCAAGAGATCTAGACTCCTAGTAATAGGACTTAAGAAACTGATGATAATATTCTGATCTTTAAGAAATATACTTCCCAGCCCATGTATAAGAATTTAAAACTTCAACTTGCACATTCTCTGCTTCACTGTCAGACATTTGATGCATTAATAAAAATCACTCAGTCACCCAATTCATTCAGTTGTAAAAAGCATGGGAACTGAATGAAGTCTGATGGGCCTTGCTCGGTTCAAATTCCAGCTCCACCGCTTATCAGTGGTGTGAACTAGGCAAAGAACTTAACTTGGGCCTGGTTTCTCTGATCTGATAGGATGACATCGCTACTTCACAAGACTGTTACAAACAAGGTCGTATAGACAGAACACACCCGGCCCATGAAAAGCCCTAGTACCAAACAGCTACCACTGCTACTGTCCTCACGGGTTAGCAATGTGTACGATTTTAGCTGACTTGGGGGGATAAGTTTACTGAGGGAGGAAGAAAGGCTAAGAGTTAAATTCATTTCAGAAGCAAATCTAAGTGTAGTCCCCAACAGTTACCCTTTTGAGTAAATCACTATTTCCAATTTACCCACAAGTTCCCAAATGTTGCCAAAGTAAAATCTTTTGGTATGTGTAAGACAATTTTACAAGCAAATATGCACTGTTGGAGTCAAAAGAAACCGGATCAATGCTGACAAACCCCTCTTATTTAGAACTACACATGGGGTCTTCCCTGCTATTCCAGTGGTGAAGACACAATACTTCTTTTTCGGGGGGAACTGGTTTGATCCCTGGTTTCGGGGAACTTAAAAGATTCCTCATGCGCATGGTGCAGCAAAGATAAAGACTGCATAGGACCCTCCTGGCACAGAAATCACTATTTTGTCCTTTCAGCTTTTATATTTCCTCCCCCTTGGTTCCTCCAATGCAGAGATAATGGGGAGACATATATATATATATATATATATATATATATATAAATATAATTTTTTTTGGATGGAGGATGTGGTCATCAAGATATCCATACTCTCATGGGGCTAAAATAGCAGGCAAGAGTGTAAAGGTAAACTTTTTATACCGAGCTGGTACGAAAAAAAGTAGCTCAAGTAACAGAAACACACACAGCACACCCAGAAACGTTCACCTGTTTTGGAAATGTAAGAGAAAAGTCAGAAACACGCACTCTAATTTGGACAGCGAAGGTCTCCGTACAATGAAAGTTCACTGGGCAGACCAGAAGGTCGTTTCATAGGCAACACTGCTCTGGGTCAGTGATGTCTCTCTCAGATCAATGACCTAATCTGACGTGTAGAAAACTGGGAAGGAGAGAAAGGTAAAATAGGAAAGGAGAGCCAAAAAGTATTTCAGTATTGAATTAAAATATCTATCTAAACTATTCATAATAGCATAGTGACATAGCTTCATTTTAAATGTTCACTTGAAATTTATCTGAACAATTTATTTAGGACAGGTCAATTATTTTCTTCCTTATCCTATATAGTTAACCTGCTAAGAACATACAAGTTTTTCCAGACTCAGGAAGACAACAGTGATGATGAATCAATGATTTGCAGTTAGTGAACAATGCAAATCAAAGGAATGAAAATGCTGGGGTCAGGTGAAACTATAATAGTTATTAGTACAAACCAATCTTTTTCTTCACTCCAAATAAAGATATAGAAACCAGGTTATTAAAGCAGTCACTAACTGCCTTTGTTAAAGACTGAACTTGCTAGTTAGTAACTCCGAATGGTTAGGACACATGACAGCAAATTACCAAAACTGACTCTGATGTTTCAAACCTGTTAGTATAGCCACCTAAAGAGATTACTTTATAGCAAAATTTAAAGAAGCAGATTATCCCATTCAAGATTCTTCGAAAACAGTAAAATTCTGGGAAGTCATCAAAGTGCCAATAATTGCAGAAACTGGGAAAAGAGAGGGGCTTCCCAGGTGGTGCTAGTGGTAAAGAACCTGCCTGCCACGTAAGAGATGTGGGCTCAATCCCTGGGTCGGGAAGATCCCTTGGAGAAGGGACTGGCACCCTGGAGAATCCCATGGACAGAGAAGCCTGGTGGGCTACAGCCCACAGGGTCGCAAAGAGTTGGACATGACTGAAGCAACACACACACACACACAGAAGAGAGAGAATCTAAGGGAAAAAAGTACTCCAAGACTAAACCTCAAAAAAGAAAACAAATGTTAAGAGGAAAAAAACGTTATGTTCTGAAGAAACAAAAGGATAACTAGAGCAGGATGAAGATCTGAGAGCTGAAAATGGGAGTGCCAGAGTTTCCTGGTGGCTTAGTGGTTAGGAGCCCAGGTTGTACAGCCATGACCCAGGAAGGAGGGGAGGGGGCAGGCAGGGAGGAAGAAAACCGGAGTCTACAAAGAAAGTGGAACCAAGTAATACCCAAGTTGAGACACTAGACAGTAAGTTAGGAGGCTCAAATGAAGTTTTTTAACTTACTGGAGTCATAAATTTTCATTGCACAAAATGGTAAAAGAGAAGCAGTACTGTGTGGCAAGCCATCCAAACCACTTCTTAAAATTCCCTTCTTCACCCATAAACCTACTGTATTTAGACTAGGCATTGTGTAACATAGTCATGTATATTAGGAACGCCATGTGGCTCAGCAAAATCCTGAATCCCACATCGTTAGGCAACAGATAAACAAACTTTAGATAACACAGCCTTTAAAATGCAAGCACAACTATTAATAGTACTAGAACCTTTTCAAAACCCTGACTTCTGTTATAACAGTGTCATTCCTAAAAAAGAAGCTGCTTTCAAGAGGCAAAAATGCTTCCTCATTTAGAATCATGGACTTTTAATTAAGACCCTATAGATTATTTACAGATAAAGGACCTAAGACATAGGAAGGCTGTAAACCTGTTAAGGATTTTAAAGCTAATGGGTGGTAGGGACTTGCTGGAGCCAGGAGTCTTGTCTCTGGGGTACTGCTGCAGGCCTTTGATTTACTAACTGTAACAAGAGCCCCTTGAGAACTAATGGTACTGAGAAAGCATGATCACTGCCTTGTTTCCCAAGCAGAAAATCTTAGAAATTCATACATGCAAGAACTTCATGTTGCCTTTTCTTTCAGTGTTCAAGAGCAAAAAAAAAAGTAGCCCCTAACTCAAAGGGGGCAGGACAAGTGAAAACTGAGGCATGCATAAACAAGCAGGGACAGCAGGCCGAAGCATAGTCAGGTATCACCCCAACTCTCTCTTCAAGAACTCTCCTACACATCACGTCCAATGATTCAAATCAAAAGGCTGAGTCCCCACTCTCTTTGGACATGATGGCTAATCTGCTTCCCATGTACCCCATCCTCTGCTGTGAGGGTACACAGTACTGCTTTGCCACAAAACATCAGTGAGACCTAACAGACACCAACCTCGAGGGCACTCTGGTTCTGAAACTAGAACGGGAAAACTGATCAGGCCTACAGGTCATCCATGGCCTCTGCTTTGCAACAGCTCAGACTGTCAAGAATTTTAATCAAAGAATACTTTTTCTATCTCAAACCTCTATTTATAATAAGTTCACCATTCAACCATTCCACAATTCCTTCATGAATGTTAATTTTCTCTCTCTGCTAGATTACAAAGTCTTTGAAGTTAATGATCATGTCTTTTGGTTTTTGTATTCCCATGGTATCTATTTATTCTAGAAACACATATACATATTAATTTACTCTCTCAACAGCTGCCCTAAACCACCGAAAGTAATCATGAGGCTGTGAGAAGAGAGATTTTCTAATAAAGAAAAAAACACAAAAATCAAATCAAGCCACCAGTGCTGTAATGTCAGGAATCCTGCTGTGGCAAAAGCAGCAAGAAGTGGAGTTGGGCTCTTCTAAATTACTGTGTGACCCAGCTTTACAGATTAGACTTCAATATAGTTAATTTACAGAATAGAAAACTCAGGTGTCAATGTTGTACACAGGAATTTGAAAGGTAAGGACCAAAATTCTCAGTGCAATTACAAATATTTCTCATAAAAATAATCAAATGGGAATTTCCTTGTGATAAATAATTTCTCAAAGTTTTCATTAAAAACTTAAGAAAAAGGTAAATAAATCAAACTTTTTCATAGAAAAATTCTATTTACAACTCCATTCAAAAGCAGTTTTTAAAAGCAAATGATCTAACACTGAAATTGAGAAATTTATGCTCACCCAAAGTTACCACATCTAATAAATTATTAATAGAATACTGCATCAAAAATAAGGCAATAACCCAAGATATAACCATTAATGGTTTCTCCACTCCCACTACTAGGTAGAAATAATCTGTCTAGTAGCAAATGATACTTCATTCCATTTCAGCATATCTGAAATCCTTAAGGACAAAAGTGATAAAATATGATCTTCATTCTTCATTAGACTTTTAGAACACTTGAAGGAAAATAATTTCTAAAGCACAAAGAGGTAAAGAGGTATAATCTTTGAAAAGATGTACTCAGTGTTCAAAATTCAAGAATGCAATATTAATACACAATGGGCGTTAGGTGAATATACGCAATACAGTGATAACAAATTAATTTATTTAGTACTTTTTCCATTCCATATCATCAGGAGGATTGATTTCAACTTTCCTTTTACCTACATCAGACCAGTTGGTACTCAAAACTGTACCACCAGACTCCATCTGCAATAAGAAATAAAAATAGATTAATTCTTGTACCATATATTCTTGGACCATATAATCCAAACAATTATTTTTCAAAAAATGTTCCAAGCACAGAGCACCAAACACAAGCTTCGTTTGGCTCAACACACACAATATTTTAATTTAACGTTACACTTTCCAGGTGAGTTACTATACTTTGCAAAAATCTGAAAAGGAAACTCTAGTTATGTTGAAGGACCATGTCCACAGACACTGCCATATAAAACACCATGTCTCCCTGCTGATCAGCATAGAGTTATAGATGGAAAAACTACCTTCAGATGAAACTGACTCCCAAGGAAAATGATGATATCTCTTTTGTGGAGCTTAATAAAGACTTTGCAAGGTAAACTCTTTCTGGTTGGACAGAACTCTAGAAGTCTCTTAACGTTCTATGTCAAATACATGCAAGTGTACACTGGAATTTTTTGAATCAAGGTACATACAGATACAGTGTCTCAGGGAAGAATCTGCCATCTATTTACTACCCACTGAATATAACAGCTACCAACAATCCTAGCATATTCATAAATACACTAAATAAAAATAAAGCTCTAAATACTGTTATCTTGGAGCTTCCCAGGGGGCTCAGTGGTAAAGAACCTGCCTGCCAATGCAGGAGACGCAGGTTCAATCCCTGGGCTGGGAAGATCCCCTGGAGGAAGAAATGGCAATTCATTTCAGCATTCTTGCCTGGGAAATCCCATGGACAGAGGAGCCTGGCGGGCTACAGTGTTTGGGGTCACAAAAGAGTTGGACATGACTTAGTGACTATACAACTACCATTTGTAATCTTAACACAATAAAAAAAAAATCACTGACCTGGATCACAGCAAGTAAGTTGTTAAAAATCTAAACATTTAAAAATAACCAACTTGCGTTATTGGTGAATGTATAGTTATACATGCTACCATTACACTGGAGCCTCAAAACAAAGCCAATGCCCCACACTCTCTGCCAAGCTCCTTCCCCTGCGTTCCTCTGCATGGGATGCTCTTCTCCACCCTGCTTCTTTTTATGTCTTCAGTTATCCTCCAAACTTGACAGGGCACCATCTCTCTGTGGCCTTCTTTGACCCTATTTAGGACTCTAGCTACTTCCCCTTGTAAGATCTGTCTACCGGGTGAGCAAGATTACCATTAATATAAACTAGATGACATCACACTTACATTTAACTTACAGTTAAAACTGTAAGGATCTGCTTTCTTAAACCTGCTTCCCACCCCTGGCTTCAAACTAAAGCTGAGAGTTTCTAAAAGGCAAGGAGCATGTTTTACCAATACTTATATATGCTAGTTCAATACTTTAGCATACATATTTTTTACCATATATATTACCAATATTCAAATGCTAGATCAATACTTTACCATACATACCATACATATTTTACCAATACTTAAATGCAGTAGCCTGGCACATAGTAGGCTTCAAATAAATTACTGAATAAAATGGGACAATGTCTATATAATAAATTACTCCTAAGAGAACAGAAAAAAGCAGATTTAATTTATAACCTGATCATGTTTGTTGATGACATTTATCGTCCCCTTTCTTCTTATGGACTGCAGTGCATCTGAGCACTCCCCTGATTTACTCTGTACCCTTGGTCTTCTTGCCCAACCAGACTGAGAGGTTACAGAAGAGACACAGTTTGCTTCTTTGTACAGGTGGACCTTGTTTTATTGTGCTTCCCTTTACTGCACTGTGTAGATACTGCATTTTTTACAATTGGAAGGTTTGGGGCAACCCTGCATCAAGTGAGTCTACTAAGTCACTTTTCCAACAGTGTGAGCTCATTCCATGTTTCTGTCACATTCTGATAATTCTCCTCTATTTCAAACTTCTCCACTGCTATTATATTTGTTACAAGAATCTGTGACCAGTGATCTCTGATGTTACTCTGCAAAAAACTACGACTTGCTGAAGACTCATATGATAAAGCTAGCATATTTTAGCAATAAAGTATTTTAAAATTAAGATACATGGACTGTTTTTTAGACATGTTATTACACACTCAACAGACTACAGCATAGTGTAAATGTAACTTTCATACAAACTAGAAAACCAAAAAGTATGACTCGCTTTATTGCAAGATTTACTTTAAAATGGCAGTCTAGAATTAAATCCACAGTTCTCCAAGGTATGCCGGTATTCCCACAAGGACAAAAGCCAAGTCCTTACTATGTTCCAAATCAATTTTGCCAGATAGAGGGCTTATTTATGAATGTGTATAGTTCAATTACAATTAGCAAAGTTTCTAAATGAAAACAGACACAGATTCTGTATCTTTGAAATTTTACACACTATTTTGTCTAGCAAGCTCTTAAAAAGTTAATACTTAAACTAATTTCTGGGAATTACCTGGGGGCCCAGTGGTTAGGACTCCATGCTTCCACTTCAGGGGGCACAGGTTTGATCCCTTGCTAGGAAACTAAGATCCCACAAACCACAGAGTGTGTGTGTGGGGGGTGGGGAACTGCTTTCTCCTTTTGGAGGCATTAAGTAAATATACTTTTTCCTATTCTTTCCACTAAGTACAACTAAAAACCTTAAATGTCATTTAAATAACAAATATAAGAAAACAAATCAGCTAGGGACCCTGGGACCCAAGGAACACCACAGTGGTAACTTCTTTGGGGTTTCTTTTGCCTCATTTTTTCAAGAGTTGGAACTGAAGAAGCTGGAAATGCCAAAGGGTATGACCAAAAAACCCAACAAAAGGCTACTTTCTCTAGCCAAAGGACAAAGACCAAAAGGAAAACAGAAACCTTTTAGACAGTAATCACTCCAGTCAAAACCACAGTGAAGACCGTGGTCCATCTCCACCCAGGCCAGCGCCGTGAAGAGCCTAGACTTTGATCCATGCTACGGTACCATGAACTGGCCTCCTCTGTTGACCAGGTTCAGTGGAACCACCTGGGCAGTTGAACAGCTGCCTATTTCCAGCAGTGACAAGGAGTGGCCCTGGGGTGTCTACAGAGGCAGAGTGGGATACGTGGATTTCTACCTCTACCTGGCAATAGTGAAGTAGTGACTTCTCTTCCTTTATCAGAGTGGTCATCAGAGAAAGCTACTTCAGGAGGAAGGTTTAAATAAGATCTACAGTTTCACAACATGAAAATGTCCAGGTTTCAACTATGTACCACTTGGCACTGATGAAAAACACCAAGAATCAGAAAGATTTCAGATTATATGTTTAAAAAGAGAAGACAACCAATAGATGACAACAGAGATGACAGAGGAGTTAAAATTATCTGAGGTACTTTTAAAGCAGTCAGGGTAAAAATGTTTCAACAAGAATTATGAACTAGCTTGAAACAAATGAAAAAAATAGAAACCTCAGTAAAGAAAGATATAAGGAAGAACCAAATGAAAGTTTTAGAATTGAAAAATACACTTGAAATAAAAAGATCAGTGAACGGGCTCAAGAGCAGAATAGAGAAAATAAAGAATTGAAATGGAAAACGAACCTATATAAGTCTGAATGACAGAGAGAGGAGAGACAAAATGAAGAGTCTCAGGAATATGTAGTACTGTAACAAACTATCCAATATTTGTGTCATCAGGTTCCAGGAAGAAGAAAACAGAAGGCAGGTTTGAAAAGGTACTCAATGATACAATGAATGAAAATATCCTAAAAGTGGCAAAAAACATAAATCTACAGTTGCAAGAAACTGAGCAAATCCCAATCAGTATAAACCCAAAGAAATCCTTGCCAATACAGAGAATTTGTCATGGACAGATCTACTCTGAAAGAATACCTAAGGAACCTCTCTAGATAGAAAAGAAACAGTAGAAACTGGAACCATGAAACACAGTAAAGAAGAAAGGCCACAAGACAGGGAAATGCAAGAGAACTTGCTTGTCCTCTTTTAAGTTTTCTAAATTACTACACTTTATGATGTGATTCTAAATGTATGCAGAAGAAATATTTAAGAAATTATAAATGAGAAAAGGTAAAAGTATATAAAGAGAGGTAACATTTCTAAGTGTCACTCAGTTTCAAAAAATGATACCAGTAGACTAAGAGAAGTATAATATAGCTAATATAAAATCTAGAGCTACCATTAAAATGATATACAAAGAAAATATACTAAAAAATACTAGATAAATCAAGATGAAAGTCTAAAAAATGGTCATGGACTCACAGGAAAACAGGAAAAACAAAAACAGAAATACAGAACAAATAGAAGACATAAGTCCTAATGTATCAATAATTAAATTTAAGTGGTCCAAATGCATCAATTAAAAGAGACTGGTAGAGTAAATTAGGAGAAGGAAATGGCAACCCACTCCAGTATTCTTGCCTAGAGAATTCTGTGGACAGAGGAGCCTGGTGGGTTGCTGTCCATGGGGTCACAAAGTCGGACACGACTGAAGCAAATTAGCAGCAGTAGCAGCAGAGTAAATTTAAAAAACATGACATGAATACATGCTGTCTAAACAATACTTTAAATATGACTTAGGAATCTGAAAAAGAATGAATATGTGTGTGTGTGTGTGTGTATATATATAACTGAATCACTTTGCTGTAAACCTGAAATTAATATTGCAAGTCAACTATACTCCAATAAAATTTTTAAAAACTAAAATTTAAAACAGTATGACTCAGGCAGACTGAAAGTAAAGGGATGGAACAGGATATATCATGCAAAAATTAAAGATATAATCAGCTATATTAATATTAGCAAAAAAATTACCAGAGCTAGAGAATGACATTGTATGATAAAAAAGCAATCTACCATGAAAATATAACAATCCTAAACACATATGAACTAAACAGAGCTGCAAAATATGTGAAGCAAAAACTCACAAAACTTAAATATTAAATCAATAAATCCATGATTATAGCTGAAGACCCTCTCTCAACAATGAATAGAAAGTAAGACAGAAAATCAACTCAGGATATTTTTTAAAAATTCAGTAAGAGTATCAATCAACAGGATTTAACTGACATCTATAGAAGACTCCATTCAACAAGAGCAGAATATACATTCTTTTCAAGGGGAATATATACTTACAATAAGAAATCTCAAGTGAAATAAAAATACATATTGAACTGAATAAAAATGAAAATATAAAATAAAAATTTATAGGAGACAGCTAAAATTCCTGAGAGGGAAATACATAGCATAAACATATATAATAGAAAAAAAGAAATTATGGGGTTGAATCAGTAATCTAAGCACACATCTGAAGAACCTATTAAAAAAAAGAATAGCAAAATAAACCCAAATCAAGCATAAGGAAGAAAATAATTAAAAGCAGAAAGAAATGAAATTTAGAACAAAAAACAGGAAAAATTTAAGATCAACAAAAAAGATGATTCTTTGGGGGAACCAAAAAAAAAGAGGGGGAGAAGTCAGTAAAATTTACAAACCCTAGCAAGACAAAGAGCAAAGACAAATAACCATCACAGGAATGAAATGGGTTATCACTACAGACCCTACAGATGTCAAAAGGTAAGAAGTAAATCATACCAACTAACAACTTCAACAAAACAGACCAATCCCTCAAAAACAAACTATCATAAGTCACTCAATGTGAAATAGATAACCTCAACAGTCCTATAAGCTATCAGGATAATGAAATTCATAATTTAAAACCTCCCCCAAAAAGAAGTATCAAGGCCTAGATGGCTTCATTGGTTTACAGAATCTTTAAAGACAAATTATCACTCATTCTACAAATCCATTACCCTCAAAAAAGAGGACTGAGCACTTTTCTATTCATTCCATGAAGTATTACCCTGATACCAAAACCAGAAAAGAATGGCACCAAGAAAGGAACACTACAGACCAATATCCCTCATAAATATAGATACAAAAATGCTTAAAACATTTGAAAACAAAACTGAATAACATACTACAAAAAGAATTATACACTGATAAGTGGGGTTTATCCCAGGGGTACAAAGTTGGTTCCATGAAGAAAATAATCATATCAATCATATAAAATCACTACTTAAACAAGTTAAAGGAAAAAAAAACCTACCTAAGTATACTGATTCAAAGCAGAAAAAACATTTCACAATTCAACAGCCATTCATGATAAAAAAATCTCAGGAAAACAAACAGAGCAAAACTTTCTTAACTTGATAAGCAGCTACAAAAACCTACAGCTAACATGATACTTAATAGTGAAAGACTGAATAGTTTTTCCCTTTAGATGGGGAACAAGGCATGGATGTCTACTCTCACTAATCTTATTCAACATAATAATGGGAGGTCTAGTCAATCAGTATAGCAATAAAAGGAGATAAACTGCACACATATTAGAAATGAAGAAATTAAACTGTCCCTATTTGAAGACTGTCTACACAGAAAATCACAAGGGATCTACCAAAAAAATCTCCCAGAACCACTGAGTTCAATAAGGTCACAGAAGACAAGATAAACATTAAAAAACAAAAACAAAAACCCTGTATTTCTAGATACTAGCAACAAACATGTGGATAAGAAAATTAAATATATAATACCACTGACAATCACTCAAAGAAAGAACCAAATACTTTGGTGTATCTAGTAAAACACATACTGGATTTAAATGCTGAAAAGCGCACAACAATGATGAAAGAAATCAGAGATCTAAATAAATGAAGCTGGAAGATTCGGCACAGTAAAGATGTCAATTTCTCCAAACTGGTATACAGCTCAATGTAATTCCTAACAGGACTTTTTCCACGTTAGACAAACTATTCTAAAATTTACAGAAAGGCAAAGGAACTGAAATATTCAAAACAATTTTGAAAATTAAAAATAAAGTAGGGGTAAAAAATGAGTCCAATTTTAAGACTTACAATAGCAACAGTAACTTGGACTATGGTACTAAAAGAGCAACAGACACTCAGAACAATGGAAAAGGGACCCCAGAAACAGACTCAATGCTAATATGCTCAACTGATTTTTGAGAAAGATGAAAGGCTATTCAAGGAAGGAAAGACAGCCATTTCAACAAATGGTGCTGGTGCAACTGAACACATACAGGTCAAAAAAAAAAAAAAGAAGCTTAACCTGCATCTCATACTTCATATAAAAATTAACTCAAAATGGATCATGAACTAAGATGTAGTAAGTAAGAAAAACTTTTATTAAAAGAAAGAATGCAGGGACTTCATGGTGGTTCAGGGCTTCAAAGTCTGCCTTGCAGTGCAGGGGATGTGGGTTCGATCCCTGGTCAAGGAACTAAGATCCCACATGCCACAGAGCAACTAAGTCTGTGTGCTCCAACTACTGAAGCCCGCACACCTGTTAGAGAGTCCGAGTGCTGCAACGAGATGTTGCAGGATGCAACAAAGATCAGCAACTAAGAACCCGCACAGCCAAATAAGTAAATATATTTTTTTTAAAAAAGGAACACAAAAGAAAATCTTTGAGCTCTAGAACTAAGCAAAGAGTTCTTAGAACTTGACACCAAAACCATGATCCATAAAACAAAAACTGATACACTGGACTTCATCAAAATTATACTTCAGTTCCGCTAAAGACTGTTAAGAAAAGAAAAAGACAAGCTACAGACTGGGACAAAATATTTGCAAACTCCGTATCTGACAAACTGGCCAGATTAGTGGCTCCCATGGGCTAAGGATGGGTAGGAAAGAAGGGTGTGAACATGGGTATAAGATGACAACAATGAGGGAATCCTGTGGCAACAGAAATGTTCTCTATCTTAACTGTCAACATCATGGCTGTAATATTAATTCTGCAAGATGTTTCCACTGGGGAAATCTGTAAAAGATGTAACGCATCTCTTGTATTACTTTCTCCAACTGTATGTGAAGCTACAATTATCTCAATGTAAAAAGTTTAATATAAAAAAATTTTAAATAGTGAAAGCACAGTCATGATCAGTTACCACATGGTAACTTGATATGGAATATCTGAGCCTCAAACACACTTATTACCCATGTATTAATTTTAATTATTAAATATTAACTTTTTCTATTGTAAAAATAAATGCCTTAAAAGAAGACCGTGACATTTCCAGAGCTACAGGTAAAAGCCAAATGATTACAGGTTCAAGCAAAATCTACATGTTTCCACAGTGATGACTTGTCACTAAAATCTCAGAACTGAGGCCTAATTCAGGTGGTATTCACGCCCTGGCAAAAAGCCTGAGTTTTCTTAACTAACAGAGAAATTATTAACAAACCAGTGGATAATCAATGTGCACCTACTACTTGCCCAGCACTGTTGTGGAAGTCTCCCTTCTATATTCCTCATCCTTGACACTGAGATTACATATGCTACCAGATGGAAAACACTGGAAGCTCACTCAGCTATTGTGATAAATCTGACTAGAATTAACTCGTATCACCCACTCTAACCTTAGTATCTCAAGTCTTTCAAGTTCTAACTCCCTGATGAAAAAATGTATGTGGACTACACCATTTGTTTCTCACCTCCTCCACAAGTTCCCAACTTTCTCAATAATTAAGTTTTGAGCAAGAAGAAATGGTCAGACAAAGCCCATTTAAAATGGTCTCCCAACTACAGTACATACAATCTGATCTCTTTACTTATATTTTTAATTTCTGAAATTTACTACTGTAGTAGATTTTATTAAAGTTTATGTTCTTACAAATGATTTGTTCATGGCACGTTTCACTTCATCAGAGCCATCTGAATAGATCTGCTGAAATAATTTGTTTAAAGCTGCATCTCCCTCCAACTTCTCATTTTTTTCTTCTTCTTTGATCTCACCGACCAATTTATCCCAATTTCTTGTATAATGAGATGATGATGGATATAGGTTTTTTACATCTATGAAGTAAAAAAAAGAAGTGATTAATCAACATGTGTCGATTATCTCAAGCACAGGTAAGTTTGTGACCATGGTGTATACATCTCAGCAAACAGTTTAAGTCATTGAATTTCATGTTTGTAAGAATGTCTTTCTGATATATAAATCAATTAACATTTAAACCTCTAAAAACTGAATCAATAAGCATAACAAAATCTGGAAATTTCTTTTGAGCAAAATTACTCACAGTGTAAACTTCTGGTACATTATGCAAAACTAGATTAACAAAGAAACCCTACATGTTAACAACAGAAGAAACTGGGTGAGAAACATACAGAACCTTTTCTTTTAAGAGCCACTTATTTTATTTATTTCTGACTGTGCTGGGTCTTCACTGCGGCAGGCTCTCTCTAACTGCAGCGCCTGGGGCTGCTCTTGCCGTGTGCAGGCTTCTCGTGCAGTGTCTTCTTTTGTTCCTGAGTGCGGGCTCCGGGCACGTGGCTTCAGTAGTTGTGGCACAAAGGCTCAGGGATTGCTATCCATGGGCTCTAGAGCGCTGGCTCCGTAATTGAGCACACGGGCTTAGCTGCCCCACAGCATGTGGAAGCTTCCCAGATAAGTGATCAAACTCGTGCACTCTGCACTGGCAGGCAGATTTTTCATCACTCACTGGACACTAGGGAAGCCCATATACAGGAACTCTGATGTTTACAGAAAAGGTGCAAAGATCGTACCAACAATTTTAAAAATACTGACTTTTTAAAACAGATGCTTCATTAACAAACTTTCTCTAAAAAAAGCTTTAACAGATGTTAAAAAATACAGCTTCTAGGGCTTCCCTGGTGGCTCAGTGGTAAAGAATACACCTGTCAATGCAGGAGACACCATGCTTCGATCCCTGGTCCAGGAAGATACCACATGCCATGGAGCAACTAAATCTGTGTGCCACAATTGTGGAGCCAGCGATCTAGAGCCCGGGAGCTGCAACTGCTGAGCCCATGCGCCTCAGCTACTGAAGCCTGCCCACTCTAGGGCCAGTGCTCCCCAGGAGACGGGGCTTGTGTACCACAGCTGGAGAGCAGCCCCCGCCTGCCACAACTAGAGAAGAGCCTGTGTGGCAACAGAGACCCAGCAAAGCCAAAAGTATGTTGTGTGTGTGTGTGTGTGTGTGTGTGTCTCCCAGCAAAGCCAAAAATACGTTGTGTGTGTGTGTGTCTCCCAGCAAAGCCAAAAATACGCTGTGTGTGTGTGTGTGTGTCTCCCAGCAAAGCCAAAAATACGTTGTGTGTGTATGTGTGTGTGTCCCAGCAAAGCCAAAAATACATCAGGTGGGGTGTGTGTGTGTGTGTGTGTGTGTAGTTTATCTTTCAGAGTGAAATTAAACTGAAAACAATGACATGCCATTTGACACTGCCATGCCATCTGATAGTGAGTTAAGACTCCGTCCTCTCACCACATTAAAAATATCAGATTACTTCAAAAGAGAAAACAATAAAGAATTCTCGAATGTTGAAAAATACTACATGATGATCCAGAGGTCAATGCCCACATCACGTGCACACAGGAAATATTATTACTTGGAGGGCACATTGGGATTAAACAGAAGCTGCTTGCAGCCAGAGAGGTAACCAGCCCAGGGAGATTCAGGGCACTGCCAAAGCTGCCCCAGAGACCAAAGGAATCAAGATCTTGACACACAAATAGTTTAAAGGAAACTAACCAAATTACCTAAGAACTGTAAGAGCAGTTCTGTTCTTTATTCAATGGAAATATAACATAAGCCACAAATATAATTCTAAAATTTCTAATAGTCTAAAAACAATCAGGTGAAATACATTCTAAAAATGTCTCATTTAGCCTAACACATCCAAAATAGTATCAGTTCAACATGAAATCAATATAAAAATATTAATATATTTTATATATATTTTTTCACACTAAGTATAAAATCTGGTATGTATTTTACATTCAGAGCACACCACAATCCAGATGAGTCATATTCCAAGTGGTCAATAGGTATAGGTGGTTTGCAGCTATACACTGGATGGTACAGCTAAATAGCTTAAAAAAAAAAAAAAAAACCTGATTCAAAATTTCCCTATGAATTAGGACACATTAACGCTACTCTCTCTGTCCCTCTCCCACTATTGCCTCTCTATATATCCCCTTTCTCAAAATAGTTGAAAAACTAATTGTTCACTCTGTTTTCCATCCTTTCTCTTCACCTCTCTCCCTGCCCATCTCACCACCCAATCCCTAACAAAACAAAATGACAACACATCAGTTTTATACAGGGCAAGCAAACTGTTTTCCAAATTCTATCCACCTGTCCTTTACCAGTAATCTCTATCTTTTGTACATTTTCACTAGGAGCCAAGAAAACAAAAAATGCATGCCAATGCTAAATTAAGAACCTAGGACACACGGGTTTAATTAATCCTAATGCCGATTTGCCAGATGGGACCACAGTTCTCATCTCCATTTTACAGATAAGAAAGCTGGCGCAGATAGGTTAACAACTTGCCCTTATCTGCAGTCTCCAGCTTGTCAAACAATCTGACAAGCACATTAACCCCTTAGAAAAAATAAAACCAGTCAGGAGGAATACCATCTTGAATATCCAAGGCATTGAGTTTTAAAAGAGTTTGTAACTATAACACCAAAAAAATCTTTAATCTCAGAAAAACATTAATACCTGTGGATGATAGATGAACTACTGAGAGACAGGTAACCTAACTTCTTGCTTATTCACTCTAACATCAAATTACAAAGCTACTCATGTCAGCAGAGACGTCCCACTGTTAGAAAAATGCAGCAACAAGCAGTATCACACATGGGGTAGAAGAACCAGGCCCAGACTCTGAAGACCTGGATTTAGTCCTACACAATGAAAACCGCTGGGTAATCTCAGGCAAGCTGTTTAACCTTTCTGAGCCCATGATAGGAGGAACAATACTAGGTCACTTACTATACAGGGCTGCTGCTAGAACTAGGTGAGATACTACATTTAAAATATTTCTTTAAAAAAATGCTTTAAGCTATACATAAATCTCAATCCAAAATTCTCTGGGAGTCAGCCCCAAGAGAAGTACGTAACATCTTTACCAAATCTTTCACATAAAGGAGAGCACAGCAGCTTAACAAACAGCTTATATACCAACCTGAAGTATTTCAATTCCTAAAAATTATCTGCGAGTGTAAATCTCCTGGCTCTGCTAATTATGCTGTAGGTTAGCTATGATAGTATCATGAGGGAAACTGGGTGAAGGGTACATGGGAACTCTTATTTTTGTAACTTCTATTAGAACCTAAAACTATTTCAAAACAAAATTTAAAGATGAATGCTCTACTGGCGAACTTGGCGTTTTCTACAAGGTGCCACAATGAAAGGGTATTTTATATTACAGAAGAAAGCAGTGAAAAATAAAAAAATAGTTGAAACAAAGTTACCTCATTTAAGTCATCAAATCAGAGCATTATCTCTAACCAAAAGGTAATCTCTCTCCATTCATTAATGAGGTCATTGCTATAAAATAGTCTTAGACTGTAGGTCTAAGCGTGTCCCACAGATTAATCATTACGTTAGAAAAACACCTGTCTACTGCCTGTGCTTAGAACTGACCCCACATAAAGTAGCCTTTTCCTTAAAGGATTAAGCAATCAACCCTTGTTTTCCACTCTACTTGCAGGCTTGCCTTAGGCCTCCACCTCTTAGAAACATAGTGAAATGTGCTAGGTACTTTTCTCTGGGAAGCTCTGAAATTCCAGGAAATTAGAGTTGACTATATGGAAGAAACAAAGGCATAAGTAAGAGGGAAGAAAGGAAGAGTGGGAAATATATCAGCAGAGTAAAACTGTTACACATAAAAAATAGGAAAGGCCAATGCACAAAAACAACCCCCAGCCAATGTCACAAACTGACATAGTAAACAATAAATTCCAATTTCCCTCTGGGCTTTGATGCCATTCATTTGTATTCTTATGGAGTTTAAGAAGTTAGAACTATCATTAAGAAATATTTCGTATTCATTACAGAGCAACCTTATTATACTCCATGTACTTTATCTTAACATAAATAATGAAAGGAGAAAGAATACTCATCACTATTTAATTTCAACTATATAACACAATATGAATCTAAAGCTCATCAAGGCCAGAAAACAAACCTGCTACGAATGGTTTGGGGTTAGGCACATCTCCTTGCCCCTCTAGCTTTTCCCATCTGACAGCCTCTGGCTTTTTCATTTTAATTTCAATCTGGAGGAAACACCAAACAAAATCAATTATTAAAATGTAAAAGACACAGAACATTAAAAAAAAAAAAAGCAATTTCCTTTCGTTATCAATGTTTTATAAGAATTAATAGTGTCCTTGTTTCCAAAGCTAAATTACAAAGCTAAATTTGGAGAACTCTGAAACAATTACTTTGTTTCTACTTAAAAGCCACCTTCAAAAACAATATACATACACACTATAAACTACAAGTGAGAGTCTTGAAACCCACATGCTTTTCTTCTTTTAAAGCAGTGTCCTCAACCAGGGTGGTTTTGTCCCCAAGTGGGTATTTGGCAATGTCTGAAGACACTGTTGGGTCACCACAACCGAGGCACAGGTGAGGAGAGGCTGTGTGTGCATCTGCTCAGGTGCTCAGTCCTGTCCTACTCTGAGACCCCATGGACTGCAGCCCACCAGGCTCCTCCATCTGTGGGATTTTCCCAGGAAGAATACTGCAGTGGGTTGCCAGTTCATCCTCCAGGGCATCCTCCCCACCCAGGGGTCGAACCGGTGTCTGCTGCATCTCCAGCATCTGAAGGTGGACTTTTTTTTTTTTAAACCACTGAGCAACCTGGGAAGCTCCTGAGGAAAGGCAAGGGGTACTACTAAATATAAATATCCTACAACATACAGGGTAACACCCACAACAAAGAATTATCCAGCCCCAAATGTTAACAGTGCCCACCACTGAGAAACTTTTCTAAAGGAGTTACTACGTATGTGTGTACATTAACCTGTTTCAGAGTAGAAAAACTCATTTCACTGTATAAAAATATCAAAACAAGTAAAACTAAGGGAAGTCATCAGTTAGATCCCTTAAATTATAACTTGCTTAATAATAACATCCTGTAACTAGCCTTTATTGACTAAAGTCACTCTAATTTTTCTTGCAAATTGCATACCCTCCAAGTTGCATGCAGCCTGAAGACACCTTTAAGCACCCACAACCTAAAACACCTCTGATGTACAGGTCATTATATTAGTGACCCACTGGTGAAAAAGTAACTGAAGTTTTGGACCATGAATTTTAAATCACTATAACTAGGTTCAAACACATCTTTTATCAGTCAAAATACGAACCATTACAATCAACACATTTTTGCCAACGAGAAATAAGTTTGTTTCTTCCTGTAGCGTAAAAATCAGTGATTCAGGATCCAACGAACTCTTGAAAGCATGTTCTGCCTCCTGCTAGTTGTGGAAGCGTTTTTCCTGCAAAAAGTTGTCTCGATCCTTGAAGAAGCAGCAGTCCACTGGTGAGCGGTCAGGTGAACACGGCAGATGAGGCAGAACTTCACAGCCCACTTCGTTTAACTTCTGAAGCGCTGGTTGTCAATGTGCAGCTGGGCACAGCCAGGGAGACGAACTGGGCCCTTTCTGTTGAGCAAGGCCAGCTGCAGGCACTGCAGTTTTCGGTGCATCTGATCGATCTGCTGAGCACACTTCTCAGATGTAATGGCTTCAGAAAGCTGCAGTCAGTGAGACAGGCAGCAGACCACCAAAAAGTGACCATAACCTTTTCTGGTGCAAGTTTAGCTTTGGGAAGTGCTTTGGAGCTTCTTCTTGGTCCAACCACTGAGCTGGTCATCGCCAGTTGTACAAAATCTACTTTCCATCCGTCCCAATCCACTGAGAAATGGTTCGCTGTTGTTGCAAAGTGTAAGGGAAGATGTCACTTCAGTGATTTTTTGATTTGCAATCAGCTTATGAGGCACCCACTTATCCAGTTTTTTCACCTTTCCAATTTGCTTCAAATGCCAAACGACCACAAGATGGTCGACACTGAGTTCTTCGGCAACTTCTCACGTAGCTGTAAGAGGATCAGCTTCAGTGTATGTTCATTAGCAGTTCCTGGGCCAAATGAGTTGTTGAGTTGTCTCTGCAGCTTTATGACCCATTTTGAACTCAAATAAGATAATTGCTCAAATTTTTCTTTTTATCTAACATCTTTTCCCTAGTCTAAAATAAATATAAACAGCAAGTAATAAGTCATTAGCAAAAATAAAAATTAAGCAAGCAATGTGCATTAAAATGTTGTATAACATATCCACGTTTATTTAAGGAGGTATTCTAATATCAAATGGCAAAGTTCAACAATTCAAAACCACGATTACTTTTGCAGATGGTAAATGCAGGAGACTGGGGTTCAACCCCTGGGCTGGGAAGATCCCCTGAAGGAGGGCATAGGAACCCACTCCAGTATTCCTGCCTGGAGAATCCCCATGGACAAAGGAGCCTGGTGGGGGGCTATGGTCCATGGGGTTGCGAAGAGTCAGACAAGACTGAGTGACTAACACACAACAGTAATGGTAACTTTTTCTGGAACATAGAGCTAGTCATGCCCAGTTAAAACTGGACAAGACCACTGACCATTCAACTGGGCCTCCATGAGTGTCTGACCTCAGAGGGCCAAAAAATGTCACCCTCAGATCATGCTAATACCATTTTCTGAACATGCATCTCATGAAGAAACTCGGATATGCCTGTGCAGGACACCAGTGACTTCACTGTATCATCCTTCCCCCATCCCTCAGACCACTTTGCTTCTTTATCCCATAATTATCCCGAGTCTGTTGCCTCTGGAAAGGCAGACATAAGATTTTTTCTTGTTCTCCTGTCTCTTCATTCAGCTGCCTCATGAATAAACTCTTTCTCTTTTGCAAATATCAGTGTCTTAGTGTTCGGCTTACTGTACATTGGGTAAATGGACCTGCTTTGATAACACAAGTAATGATAACATTTTTACAATCATTGGTTCAATAATCATCAAACATCTACCGTGAGCAAGGTATAGTCTTCAGGAATGTGAGGGATTTTTTACATATTAAAGGAACATCCCTGACCACTCAGTAGTATGTGAAGCACTTGAAGAAAGGCAACTAAATGTTCTAAACACTCAGGAGAGATCACACTGGCTGTGGACAGGAAGGTTTCCAGGCACCTTGAGGGCTGTGAGAGGCAGGAGCATTTGCAGTGATGGAAAGGGTCTCCAGACGCAAAGGGAACTGCCTAAAACTGGAGCCCCAAGGTGTGAAAGGACAGTGTTATCAGGCAGTGAAGAGAAGACCAGGTTTGCCTCAAGTCCAGGATTTTCGTTAAAGCAGTGAAAAATACAGATAGGAAAAAAAAGGTGTAAGACAGACTATAAAGAGCTTCTGAGTGCTAAACTAAGGCCGCTTATTACAATGAAATGTTAAAAGCATCCTAAAAGCATCTTTTACTCTCTAATCAAGGCTGGTCCCCCTAGAATCTACCTAATATATACTCACAGAGCACTATGTTAGCCCTAACATACACTCACAGAGCACTTACATCACCTTATGTTCTCCTTATTCAAATAATGCTCTCAGCCCCAATTTTAGCGTAGCAAAAAATCAGCATTTATAGTGCTGGTAAACACAGTAATAACCATTATCCAAATAGTTTTTAAGAATCAAGTTAGAATTTTATATTCCAATGTTTTTCCCAAGAAAATAATTATGACTTTTTAAAGTAGGAAAAAACCCAGAAGACAAACCTATTATGTCCACTTTTGTTCTTTGATCTATTTGGTGAACATGAATCATTTAAATTAGCAATTGCTGGTAATCTTTCTACCAAAACAGTTTAGGAAGAAAAATCTTTAAAATCTTCATTTTAAAATACTTTAACAAAACACTAACAGAAATCTACCAGTATTTTCAGTCAGATATGAAGTGAGGGGTGTGAAAGGGATGTGGTGTGAGTATTTTCTTAAGGTGCCCAGAAATGTAACAAGAAATGTTTTCACTAGAGACAACATGAAACAAATCTCACTGGAAAAGAAGCGAAACAGTCAGTCTTTTAAATGTAACATACATATTTAAATTCTACATGAATAAAAACAAACATTTAAAAGGATCTACGGAATTCTGTAAAGTGAACTATGACTTAACTTTTATAAAGCAAAATACTACCAATATTTTCTCATACACAGTATGAGTACTCTGGTCATTTTCAGTTGGCACTGTTGGGATCTTTATCAAAAAGGGACAGAAATCCAATAGTCAGCAATGACACAAAAATAATTACTGAAATGGACTCTTAATATATCAAAATTTAAAACTGCATCTTGCTCCTTTAATTTTCAACTTATCTAGAAATGATGACTTCACAAGCAGTTTCCTTAACTAACTTCAGCCACGGGCACGCACCCTATGCCCACACCACGTTTTCCTGCACTAGGAACTGTCTATAAAAAGCCCCTCACTTCACCTGAACAGCAGCACACAGTAGCACTGGCATCTCTGAAGGCCACTACAACCTGAGTAATTGTGCATTATGAACAAAAAGGCTTTTATAAAGTCAAAGTCAGAGCTCTAAGTAACAACCTACTTCAACTGAGACAAGCTGACCTGAACTCGAAATTATACTTACTCCATTCATTAAAAGAAATGCACAGAATAAAGCATTTAAAGCGGCTTTCTTAAAAGGCAAAAGGGGAGAGACTAATTTTCTGTGAAATTCTTTTTATATCTACTTCACTTTCAATGCTTACATATGCTCTTAAAAGTGATTCTGATAGAGACTTTTTGAAATATCACCAGTCCAACTTCAGATATTTTTATTGGGACTATTAATCAGCCATTCTATTTTCATTTAAGTCAAAAGTAATTTAAAGATAAACTTAAAACTTTGATGATCTACTGAATGCAGCTCTCATAGGCACAGAGAAGGTTTTCAATGTGCCACAAGGTCCCAAGCAGGATTCACAGACTACTAGTAAGAATCCCCATGTGTTGGATTGTCAGTTTTCAATATCATGTGTACTACTACCCATTTCTAAGCTCTCCTTTGCACAGCAGAAAATTTAATTTTTTCCAATGAAAGGAACTTTAAGATTTAAAGAAAAGCCATTACTTCTAAAGGGTTACAGCCTCCAGACACCAGCTTCTTAAATAAAGGTGAGTCTTTACTTACTACTACAGATTGATGGTGAAGGAATCTTTACCAGAGACAAGAGC